CCGGCAAGCCACTCCAGTATCCCTGCCAAGAAAACTCCATGGACAAAGACAACAGGCACACAGGGCTAGATAAGGCTTTTGTCTGATTCGTCAGGTCTCTTTTTAATAATCAGTAAAGGCAACCCACAAGAGAATCTTTCCTATTTGTGGACAAGGATGGCACCAAAAATGTTGGCTTTTGGAACTTCAAACCTGAACATTCAGCCTTGTACTTGTTTCCCAGGCCAAGTGAAATGTTTGGATTTATAGGAATTAGGTCAGAAGGGGATTCACAACCAACAGTCAGAAGCCTTCGTTGCCCAAGCATGCAGTGTATTAAGCAACTTTCCTTCCGCCAAACAAGTTAGGGAAAACCCAGAGAGCCGGCTGCATCAACAAAAACAGTTCCTGCACTCTGCAAAGCGCAATCCAGCTATAATGCTGGCATTCGTTTATCTTCCTATATATGTAGAAACGCAAGACCGTCGTCGCACAGGCCTCATGGGAAGATTCGTAGTGCCACACCACGCCCCTTGGATTTGCATGAAGGCAGGGAAGGGCAGAGGGTCAAAGGAGAAGGCAGGTTTTAAAATGGCAGTTTGAACGAATAAAAGAGGCCTGAATAAAGGTACACATGTGCTGTAAGGATACTGGAGGGGGGGCACTTGGAGGAGCTGGAAGGTTATGGGGATCTTGGAGGAGCTGAGAGGATGTGGGGCTGGAAGGGGCTGTGAGAATATGGGGCCTTGGAGAAGCTGTGGCGGGATTGAAGATGTGAGGGAATGGCGGGTTGGGGTTTGGTGGGGGGTAGGCAAGGTTGGTGAGCAACAGAAACAGGGGTAGCAGTTCCTAGGTGTTGTGATGAAAGCAGGGTGGGGTGTTGTTTTTTTGGTCTCAGAGCAATTAGGAGAGAATACTAATTAAATAACTTTCGCCACAGAGACAGGCATCCATTCTAACATTTATGAACTGGATTTTAAAGAGCTATGTGTTCTTTATTTCCAAGAAGAAAAAAAATCTGTAAATATAAGCTGAATATTTGGTGGGCGTAGGACAGGGGCGGGAAGCCTCAGGCCTGAAGGTCAAATATACTTTTGCATATGGTTACACCCACCTCTGCTACATGGCCCCTCAGAAAGCTGCTCACGAGGAAATATGGTACCTGGACACACACAAAAATTAGGTTCCTCATTCTGAATAGCTCAGGTGGTTAGAGCATGGTGCTGATAATGTCAAGGTTGCAGGTTCAATCCCTGTAGGAGACAGCTGACTCGGCCGAGTAGACCTGAAGGAGCGTCTCCTCCCCCATCGTCCAGCCTAGACACAGAGGTCCAGCGCCGAGGGTCTTCTGGCGGTTCCCTCCCTGCAAGAAGCAAAGTTACTGGGAACCAGGCAGAGGGCCTTCTCGGTGGTGGCACCCACCCTGTAGAACGCCCTCCCATTAGGACTTCCGGGTTGGCGCCATCGCCGAATGGCGGACTCCCTCCGAGCTCCGGAGGGAGTCTGCTCGGCAGGGGCTGGGTCCTACCGCGCCGGCGACGCGGGGACCCTTAAAAACCACGGCACGGAGCCTGTGGACATGGGGACTCGGCTGGTACCATTAGCGCCCTCCCGACTCGTGAAGGAGCCTTTTTAAAGGCTACGGATCGGGTGCCGGGGAGTGGCGTGGTGCTTTGAGTCTATCGCTTCCCCTGCCGAGCGCAGCCGCATGCCATTCGGCGGAGAGCGCTGGCTTCTTCCATTGGAAATTCGGCTATTTAACAACAACCCGTGAGTAATTGGGTAACCGGGTATAAAAGGAGAAAAAAAGGAATTTTTTTTCGGATTCGGCACGAGCTGGGGGGGGGGATCTAAAAAGGAAGTCAGTCCCCTCCCTTATTGTAAACATGCTAAAACAAGGACTGAGAAACCAAGATCGATTCAGAAGCTTATTGCTGACAAAAAATATCAATTCCACGATGGGATACTACAAGAATTGCGCTGGAGGAGAAAAGTCGAGGGTGAGAGGAGGCAACCCCCCCCCTGGGAACCGGGGCGATTCGGAGAACCTGGTGGAGAGAGATGGAGAATTTGACAGCTGTCAAAGTAGCTGTCAAATCTTGAGAATATAAAGGGGACTTTGTTATAAGTATTTTGCTGGAAATTTTGTTACAATTGGATATAAAAATGGATACAAAATGTCGGGGGAAAAAGAAACAACAACTTGACTTTTGGATTAGAGGATACAAAGTTACGGCAACCCCCCTAGAGGGGCTTTGGGACATTACAAGAGGCGTATGTGGAAAACTACTCCGGGATGTGTACAGGTCTTATCTCCTGGGAAAGCAGCTAAACTGAAATATTGCTTTGTCTACAGAGGTGACAACACAATAGAATTTTTCTATTGAAGCAAGGTAGGAACTGGACGTAAGTTTTTGTTCCTGAATAACAAACCTCTGTAGATATCAGATTTCGGAATAAGAATGGTTTTGCAGCTGAACAAGACAGAAACCTGAGAAAGTAAGAAATAAAAGAGCAAAGGACCAACTACGCCACGGAAAGAACAATGGGAGGAGCAACTACGACCAAAGGAAATTCAAGGCCTCTATTGGACTGGATTTTCGAAGTTAAACAGCATCAAAACAAGTAAATCTAAAGAAAACCGGCAAGAGGGATTGAGGAAAATTTGGCTGTGGACTTGAGACCTCCAGGCCGACAACATACAGACTGATGGACATTGGGAATCCAAACCGGGGAAGGGAGGGGGAATTTTAGAATCCAAAGGCTATGTAACCAACTTTTTGGAATTTTCTTCTATTTTCTATTTTTTATCTTTCTATATAACTTTGGTATTTTGATTTAACATGTGTTTTTAAAAAAGGGGGAATTCGTGGAAGGAAATGGGGTAGATCTTGGGGGAAAAACTTTTTCTTTATTCTGTTAAAGATGAGGAGTGATGTTAAGATTGTAATTTAAATTGGCTAATAGGTACAACATATTAGGTTTAAATTGGGTATGAGAACTTGTGGAACCAACTTAGGGAAAGGGGAATACAGTCGGGAGGGGAAGGAGGGAGTCCCAGAAAGAAGGTTATGAAAATAAGGGTGTAAAATTGGTTTTTCTTTTTCTCTCTTTTCTTTATCTTTTCTATTTTTTCTATTCTGTTATTATTGGAAATTTTAATAAATATGATTATAAAAAAAAAAAAAATAGAACGCCCTCCCATTAGATGTCAAGGAAACAGAAAACTATCTGACTTTGAGAAGGCACCTGAAGGCTGCCCTGTTTAGGGAAGTTTTTAATATTTGAAGTTCTATTCTGTTTTAAGTGTTCTGTACATAGCCACACAGAGTGGCTGGGGAAACCCAGCCAGATGGGTGGGGTATAAATAATAAAAGTATTTATATTATTATTATTGCATGGGGTTGGACTGGATTGACTCTTTCAACTCCACAATCCTGTGATTCTATCCCTGCTCCAAAATATGCCATGTTGGTATAAAGTGTTAAAACTATCTGTAGGAATTGTGCTTGGCAAAGCAAAACAAGCCATTTTTTTAAACCGCCCAGTAATATGGCTGATAGTATCCAAGTTGCCATCATCTTAAAGCAGCCATAGTCCACATTTGTTTTTATGGTGGGTGAAATCTCTCTTCATTTTATCTGACCTCTCACTTGCACATGAAAAACCATTCAGTTTGAATTCTTTCTAGCCCCCCCAAGAAGTCTCGCTTACACACAGGAGGTTATGTTTGGTTTTATTAGATAGAAGAAGCACATTCTTTTTCTTAAAGGCAAGTGTGGGCGTTAAAACAAACACAGTGTAGAAATAAACCGCAGGGATATTATCTGTGCGTATCGCGTACATTCACCGACGCCACTCTAACGAACCGGAATGGAGCCAACGCATTCTTCGGAGGAATAGAGCAGATCGTCACAACACAGTAAGGCAGGTGAAATGGTTTGGTACAGAATTCTCTTAGCGCAGGCCAACGTCTTCCCAAACGCGATGCCTGTGCAATCCCAATGGTCCCCTTAGAAGCCAGCATACCCTTCCCTTCTCTCGCGACGCCACCCTTGGCGGCTAACCAATGTGACTCTTTCTGCATGCTCAGCCATGGCGCAACATGCTCACTTCAAGGAGAAACTCTGGCCCCTTGCGGGGGGGGGCACCAAGGTCCCTGGAACGCAGGGTTTTTGCTGACCTGGGTACAGTCATACCTCATGTTACGGATGTTTCAGGCTACGTATTTTTCGCTCTATAAGACACACCAGACCATAAGACGCACCTAGTTTTTGGAGGAGGAAAACAAGAAAAAAAACATTCTGAATCTCGGAAGCCAGAACAACGAGAAGGATCGCTGTGCAGTGAAAGCAGCAATCCCTCTTGCTGTTCTGGCTTTTGGGAAAGCTGTGCAGCCTGCATTCACTCCATAAGATGCACACACATTTCCCCTTACTTTTTAGGAGGGAAAAAGTGAGTCTTATAGAGAAAAAAATACGATACGTCTTTTCAGGTTGCGTCCTGCGGCGACCCGGAAGTACCGGAAAGGGTTACTTCCAGGTTTCACCGCTCGCACATGTGCAGAAGCGCTAAATCACGCTTTGCGCATGCGCACAAGCGCTAAATCGCACCGCACACCTGCGCAGATATGCTGCTTCAGGTTGCACTCTTTTCAGGTTGCGCACAGGCCTCCAGAACAGATCCCGTTTGCAACCAGAGGTACCACTGTAGAAGAGAATAGCTGAGAAGAGTCAGAAGGACTTCCGGTTGAAGTGAGCATACTTGGGACATCGAGCATGCGCAGAGAGCAGTGGCAGCATGTTGCTGGTGGCCTGCACTAGAATGTCTAACTGAGTTATTCCATGACCCGCTGTCAGCACCGGGTGGGTGAGGGGGGGGGGTTGGGTTAGCAGCACGTTCATCAGATACCATTCAAACGCTCCCATCTAGAAGGCAACCACTTTTGTAAAAACGTAAATAAATTTATATTAAAAAAGTCTGAAAAGGTCTTAAAAAAATATCAAAAACACAAAAGAACCACAGTTCAAAAAAACCATTCCTTTGCATTTTAAAAAATGCCACTGAACAAAGACATATCAATTCAACTGATTTACAAGATTTTGGGTTTTGGTTTCTGGGTTGTTTTCTTCCCTGTCTGGAGTAGTTAAAGAGTATAGGCTGTCATCTAGCCTATGCCTTGACATCTTTGAGATGGGTGATGAGCCAAGAACTTGTCAGAACTGCATACCATGATATCTTATTTTCTTGTTCCATGTCTATAAACAAGATTATTAAATGTTTGCTAATAATTCCTATTGGGTGGTAGTCAGTTCCCGCAATTAATTAAATTCCCAGTCTGGTGGGCATGTTCCACTCCTTAACCTCTACACGTTTTGTGCCGAAACGAAAAGTATTAGCAGATAGAATGAAAATGCTGCATATTTTAACCATATAATTTGAGGGCATTGCCATGTTCTCAAAAGATGCATCTTCTCAAATCAGCTTCAGAGCATCTTGCCATGCTTTTAATGTTTTGGTAGCATAACTGACAGCTGCAGAGTATTCTGAAACACAAAAATGGAAAAAGAAAAAGAAAATAGAGGATTACTTTTCAATACAGTTTAAAGCTTTTAATTGTTCAAAGGTATAAATGCTTTATACAAACTTGTTCTAAATTTTGGACAGCTAACTTCCCCAAAAATTTTCTTCCAAGGCAAAATAAACGAGTTCCCTTGAATTGTAAAGGAGCAAAATATTGGTTAAAAGGTAAATCAAGTCATGGAAGTAATTTTAGATTTTAGAGTCACAATAATGAAGCTGGCATTTATTACCACTTTTAAAAGTTCAAGTCACCAGGGACCTTTATGGACCTCAACCCACACTCACACAGAAGATCCTCAGTCCTGAGGGATTTATTTGGGCTTTAGCTCTTAGTTTACTACATACTCTGTTTTTTGTTCTACATCTAGAATGCCATGACCTATAGTGAATACATGAAGCAAAGAAGGACAGGGATCCAAGGAAGGCAGGACACATTTTCTCTGTATCAAATGCCATTTCTTGGGAGCTGCAGAATTCCTTCTAACAAAAGGCAAAGGAAGTTCATAAAGTATAAATTTGCCATGCTAATTGCATGGACCACAAAGAAGGCTGATCGCCGAAGAATTGATGCTTTTGAATTATGGTGCTGGAGGAGACTCTTGAGAGTCCCATGGACTGCAAGAAGATCAAACGTATCCATTCTGAAGGAAATCAGCCCTGAGTGCTCACTGGAAGGACAGATCCTGAAGCTGAGGCTCCAATACTTTGGCTACCTCATGAGAAGAGAAGACTCCCTGGAAAAGACCCTGATGTTGGGAAAGATGGAGGGCACAAGGAGAAGGGGATGACAGAAGATGAGATGGTTGGACAGTGTTCTCGAAGCTACCAGCATGAGTTTGACAAAACTGTGGGAGGCAGTGGAAGACAGGAGGGCCTGACGTGCTCTGGTCCATGGGGTCACGAAGAGTCGGACACGACTAATCGACTAAACAGCAACAACAAATTTCTTACAGTGAAAGGTGTGTCCTCCCCGGTCTCACCTGGGAGCACCCTCCTCTTCTCTCAGCGAAAATGAGCAATTCTAGATTTACCCGGAGTTAACCAACTCTCCACACACACACACACACACATATATTCAGTTTTCCTCCATGTGTGGATGCTTAATTTATATTATTCTATGTTGCCCATACAAAGATATTACGTATAAAGCAACCTAGAAAGGACACATTTATGTGGAACAAAGGTAACGTGTTTTAATATAGTTTTGCCTGTTTCCTATGTATATGCCCGGGTTATCTTCCGCTTGGACTACTGCAATGCGCTCTACGTGGGGCTACCTTTGAAGGTGACCCGGAAACTACAACTAATCCAGAATGCAGCAGCTAGACTGCTGACTGGGAGTGGCTGCTGGAACCACACAACACCGGTCTTGAAAGACCTACATTGGCTACTAGTACGTTTCCAAGCACAATTCAAAGTGTTTGGTACTGACCTTTAAAGCCCTAAACGGCCTCAGCCCAGTATACCTGAAGGAGTATCGTCCACCCCCATCGTCCAGCCTGGACACTGAGGTCCAGCACCCTGGGCCTTCTGGCGGTTCCCTCGCTGCGAGAAGCAAAGCTACAGGGAACCAGGCAGAGGGCCTTCTCGGTGGTGGCGCCTGCCCTGTGGAACGCCCTCCCACTAGATGTCAAAGAGAAAAACAACTACCTGACATTTAGAAGACATCTGCAGGCAGCCCTGTTCAGGGAAGTTTTCAATGTGTGACATGTTAATGTATTCTTAATCTTTGTTGGAAGCCGCCCAGAGTGGCTGGGGAAGCCCAGCCAGATGGGCGGGGTACAAATAATAAATGTATTATTATTATTGTTATTATTATTATTATTTCTGCAGCTGCACCCACATCAATAGGTAAAAGGAGAATAACTTCTCTGGGTCAGCATCTCTTCTGCCGAATGCAAGCTCTTGGTCTATCTATCACGAGCTTCCAGCACCAGTAAAAATGTCAGGCAAACGAAAAACGGACTTCAACTCAGTATTCTGTTTTCCCTTTCCTGCTTTGAAATTCTGCAGCTTTCTTTGGGGCCTTTTTGTCCAGCTAGCCTTCTTTTAATTTGCTGGTTTTTAGTTTTCAAACACACATTAAGCATACACATATATCTGTTGCTCTCCTTTCGCTACACACTAACTTTTGAAACACGTTTAAAGAGTTCAGACACAAAGATATTGGGAGGAATTAAAAATATATTACTTTCAAGTTCTGCTGGGTTTCTGCCCAGTCCATGGAACCGATCAGGGGTATAGTAGTCAGCAGCAAGCTCGTTGCTTTATTGGCGTTTTCCTTCAATGTCTTCAACACTTTATCCACCGAAACCTGGAAGTACAACAACAATGAAAGCAAATTCCACTGAATTAAAAACACACACACACACCACCCATATACTTATGAGTTGATATGTATAGGATTGCATACTGGAGAAGTTTAAAACAATATTTAAATGTCTCAGGCATGGGTAGGCAAACTAAGACCCAGCCCAATCGCCTTCTCAATCTGGCCTGCAGACGGTCCAAGAATCAGTGTGTTTTTACATGAGTAGAATGCGTGCTTTTATTTAAAATGCATCACTGGGTTATTTGTGGGGCATAGGAATTTGTCCATTCCCCCCCCCAAAAAAAATATAGTCGTCCCCCCCACAAGGTCTGAGGGACAGGGGACCGGCCCCCTGCTGAAAAAGTTTGCTGACCCCTGGTCTCAGGTAAATTTTGTGAGGCATTGAATTCAATAATTTGAGTTTGCGGCTGACTGTTGAGAGGAAGGGGGGAGGAAGAGAGAGATGCTGGCAAACTATCAAATGCATTACAGTGGAACCTGGGAAGCCAAACGCCTTTGAACTTGAATGTTTTGGCTCCCGAATAATCAAAAACCGGAAGTGATTGTTCTGGTTTTCAAACGCTCTTTGGAACCCAAACGTCTGATGTGACTTCCGCGGCTTCCGATTGGCTGCAGGAGCTTCCTGCAGCCAATCGGAAGCCGCGCCTTGGTTTCCGAATGTTTTGGAAGTCGAACGGAATTCCAGAACAGATTCCACTCAACTTCCAAGGTACCACTGTACTGCTAAAATATATGCAGGGGGACATGAGAAATCTTCCTCCATGTTTCCCCAAAATACTCCTCCCCATGAAAACAGGGGGCAACTATGTTGATTTTTAGTGGTGAAAGGAAAGAAAGAAAATAAGAACTGGGAAGAAGACGAAACACAAATGAAAGAAGAATGGATTTTAAAGCTAATGGGCTTTGCAAAACTGGTGAAACTAACAGCAAAATTATGAAACTGACATGAGGGACGATTCCTGGAAGAATGGAAGTCCTTTTGGGAATATCTGAAAAAATGCCATGATCAGATGAAATCGCAAGCAGGATTTGAAATATAAGCAGTGGAAGGAAAATGATAATACACTGGTACCTTGGTTTTTGAATGGCTTGGCTCCCGAACAAATCAGCTCCTGAACACCACAAACCCAGAAGTAAGTGTTCCGGTTTGCAAACGTTTTTTGGAAGCCGAACAGACTCCCGGAACGGATTAAGTTCGACAACCAAGGTACCACTGTATTTGAAATGGAAGAATATGTCGTAGGTGAAATTTTCTCAGAGTGCAGTATGTAAATAGGATGGGATTAAGAACAGCGTGGAAGGAAAGGCAGGAAGTCAAAAGTTTAAAGAGAAATGTAAAACAAATTTGAAATCTGGAATTTATATGTAAAGATTTAAAAGTGTAGTAAAAATTTCATCTCTGGCAAAAAGGGGGGGGGTCCCTTCTGAATATTTTTCGTATCTCCGTAAAACTGGGGTGTCACCACAAACCTGCCAGCGCCTCCCCCCTTCTTCTTTTCCCCCCAATTTTTTTATTGGTTTTTACAACATTATAAACAAACAAACAAACAAATATGACAAACAAACATAAATCATAGCCTTATTGAAAATTACTCTTATTAACATTGTTAAGTGACTTCCTTGCTTCCCCTTGGTTGAATTTCATTGCATATCCTTTTTCCAAATTGCAAAGTTAAATTCTTATAAAATTTAACTTAGACATTAACATCCTTAGATCTTCACATTATGAAATTAAACATATTAATTCATCACTTTTAACATATTAATTCATCACTTAACATAAATAAAATCCTAAGCCAATTAAGTATCTGCAAGCTGTTTTCAGTTAATTTAACTTAACATATTTAACTAAGTAATCATTAATTTTGTCCATTCTTCCTGATACTCCTCCTCCTTCTGGTCGCAGACTCTTCCGGTCAGGTCGGCTAGCTCTGAAAAATCCATCATCTTCATCTGCCATTCTTCTATCGTTGGTAATTCTTGGGTTTTCCACTTTTTAGCTAACAAAATACGAGCAGCAGTTGTGGCATACAAAAATAATTTAGCATCTTTCTTGGGCAATTCCAAATCTGTTATTCCAAGAAGAAAGGCCTCTGGTAGCGCCTTCCCCCTTCTGCATGTATGGCGCCATTTTAGCTACCTAAGGATCCCGGCTTGGCAACCAAAGCTAAAAGCGAGAAGCAACTGTCACTCACTGTTTCTTCGTGTTCCTTCCAGCAGTCGTAGTCTGTGGCCATGGCAATGCTTGCATAGCAGAGACCAGCTTCCCTGGCAAGAACCACTTCGGGGACTGTAGTCATGTTGATGACGTCGCCTCCCCAGCTGCGAAACATGAGGCTCTCAGCTCGGGAACTGAAACGCGGCCCTTCGATGGTGATCATGGTCCCTTTGGAGTGGGACTTGATGCCAAGCTTCTTGGCCACATCCATAAGGACCTGGACACACAGAGACAGGACCGTCTTTAGCATATGTGCTGCTAGGGTGCAAAGATCCGCCCAGCGCCCCCAAATTGAGTTTAGTAGTCTTGTTAAAATCTATTTTGGTAAAGGGAGGGACACGGGTGGCGCTGTGGTCTAAACCAAAAGAGCCTAGGACTTGCTGATCAGAAGGTCGGCAGTCCGAATCTCCGTGACGGGCTGAGCTCCTGTTGCTCAGTCCCTGCTCCTGACAACCTAGCAGTTCGAAAGCACATCAAAGTGCAAGTACCGTATTTTTCGCTCTATAACACGCAGTTTTTTCCTCCTGGAAAGTAAGGGGAAATGTCTGTGCGTGTTATGGAGCGAATGCCTACAGATGGCAGGGGAATCCGCTGCAGTTGTGAGCAGTCCGTGGCTCTCTTTGAAACTGCAAAGCGGGTGTAAGCGGCTCCTGTCAGCGAGCCGAGCCGGGCAGGAGGGAGAGAAGCAGAGCGGGGTTGGTTGCTTTAAAACAACCCCGTGCTCTATGTCCCTCTCTCTTCTCCACTGAGCTGCTAAGTAGCAGCAAAGCTTTTCAGCCAGCCTAGCCGGGAGGAGGGAGAGAAGCAGATCGGGGCTGGTTGCTTTAAAACAACCCCGTGTCCCTGCCTGCAGTTTTTTGCTGTCCGATTTTGGATCAGCCACTGTAGGGGCTGTGTGTGTGTGTGTGTGTGCTTGAGCTATCGTTCTCCTCCTCCTCCTTCCTGTTCACTCTCACAGCGCCCCAGCGCTCTCCTGCGACTTTAGGAGTGATACTCTGTGTGTGTGTGTGTGTGTGTGTGTCTGTGTGTGTGAGGCAACGTTCTCCTCTTGCTTCCCCTTCACTCTCCCAGCGCCCCTGCGCTCTCCTGCGACTTTAGGATTGATACTGTGTGTGTGTGTGAGAGAGAGAGGGGGGGGATCGTTCTCCTTCTCTTGCTTCCCACTCCCAGCGCCCCTGCCTCTCCTGCGACTTTAGGATTGATACTCTGTGTGTGTGTGTGTCTGTGTGTGTGTGTGTGTGTGTGAAGCATCGTTCTCCTCTTGCTTCCCCTTCACTCTCCCAGCGCCCCTGCGCTCTCCTGCGACTTTAGGATTGATACTCTGTGTGTGTGTGTGTGTGTCTGTGTGTGAGAGGGATTGTTCTCCTCCTCCTGCTTCCTGTTCACTCCCCCAGCGCCCCTGCGACTTTAGGGCGACTTTAGCATGGATCCACATGGATCCTCAGGATTTTTGCATTGGGCTACCCCAAACTCACTGTCAGATCACATGTCTGTGGCCACAGCATGAACCACAAAAATCATACATCCACTGTTTTGTTTAGAATATTTTTTTCTTGTTTTCCTCCTCTAAAAACTACGTGCGTGTTATGGTCTGGTGCGTGTTATAGAGCGAAAAATACGGTAGATAAAAAGGTACCGCTCTGGTGAGAAGGTAAACGGCGTTTCCGTGCACTGCTCTGGTTCGCCAGAAGCAGCTTAGTCTTGCTGGCCACATGACCCGGAAGCTGTACGCCGGCTCCCTTGGCCAATAAAGCGAGATGAGCGCCGCAACCCCAGAGTCGTCCGTGACGGGACCTAATGGTCAGGGGTCCCTTTACCTTTACCTAAAAGGACAGTTAAGTCCAGTCACAGACGACTCTGGGGTTGCGGCGCTCATCTCGCTTTCAGGCCGAGGCAGCCAGCGTTTGTCCACAGTTTTTCCAGGTCATGTGGCCAGCAGGACTAAACCACTTCTGGCACAACGGGACACAGAAACCAGAGCAGCGCACAGAAATGCTGTTTACCTTCCTGCCGGAGTGGTACCTAGTTATCTACTTGCATTTTGACGTGCTTCCGAACTGCTAGGTTGGCAGGAGCAGGGACCGAGCAAAGGGAGCTCACCCCATCGCGGGGATTCGAACCGCCCACCTTTCGATCAGTAAGCCCAAGACTCAGTGGTTTAGACCACAGCGCCACCCGCGTCTATTAAAACTATATATATATATATATATATATATATATATATATAATCTGTTTACAAAGAATTACGACAGAAGCAGCAAGGCACCAGCCCTTTAATGCACCTCTTTAAAAAGTAATATGCAGGTTAACCACAATAACAAGCCCTCCCCCCATCCTTTTTTTTGTAATGTACAAAATATGTACAAATTACCACTGGGGGAGTGGTAATTCTGTATTGATTTGTTTTGGATGGTTGTATGTGATGCCAATAAAAGGTTTGATGATGATGATATGGGTACTATTTCTTGTTTCTCCCTCTTTGCATCTTATATTAGTCTGTGTACTTTTGTAATTTTATAATTATTTTTCTAATAATAATAATGATAAAGTAATCTGCAGGAAGAACAGGGAAGTGGCTCAGCATTTATCAAGTGGCAAGCCCCCCCCCCCCAATATCAACATTAAATGAAACAGGAGGGGATAAAGCTGGAAAGGAAAGCCAGCAACATGTTTCTCTTTCACCCCCTTCCTATACATTCATAAGCACTTTCTGCTGATCTACAGGCTGTTGAGATTCCGGCCGCAGACGACAGACTCAATAAGCGAAGATCCACAAACCTCTCTAGTTTTGGCGCAGAAAGGTTCTGCCATAGGGATGTGGCAGACTCCCGGGAGGCCGGGACAGCTCCCATCATAAAAGGTGAGATGCCTTTTGGTGGTCCTGTGGTGGTGGGGGAAACATTGATTAGAAATTTAAAAAAAACACCTGATTGGCAAGGAAAGGTCAGCATCTTCAGTCACTGTAGTATCAATGCCACCCATTCGCCTCTTTTTTCCATCTTGCGAGCCGACAGAAGATCAGTAGAGTAGGGGTCAGCAAGGTTTACCTCGCCTGGGCCAGTTCACTCCAGCAGAGATTCCTCCAGCAGAGATTTCTGGCGTCTGCGCACCTGCAATTTCCGGTGTCTGCATCTGTGCGCCTGCAATTTCTGCTGTCTGGGCAGATGCGATTTCCGGCGCCGCAGAAGCGAGTCCCCGTGCTGCGCAGGTTTAGCGCAGCACGTAGGGACTCACCGAGCGGGTGCCTTGGTTCGGGGGCGGCTCGTGGGCTGGTTAAACAACCCCCATGGGCCGCCTATCCTACATTCCTGAACATTCTCCTACATTCCTAAACATTCCCACACTTAGGTTTCCCCTGAATCAAGTATGTGTAGTGTGGTCTGAGCACTGAAGAATTGATGCTTTTGAATTATGGTGCTGGAAGAGACTCTTGAGAGTCCCATGGACTGCAAGAAGATCAAACCTATCGCTTCTTAAGGAAATCAGCCCTGAGTGCTCACTGGAAGGACAGATCGTGAAGCTGAGGCTCCAGTACTTTGGCCACCTCATGAGAAGAGAAGACTCCCTGGAAAAGACCCTGATGTTGGGAAAGATGGAGGGCACATGGAGAAGGGGACGACAGAGGACGAGATGGTTGGACAGTGTTCTCAAAGCTACAAACATGAGTCTGACCAAACTGCGGGAGGCAGTGGAAGACAGGAGTGCCTGGCGTGCTCTGGTCCATGGGGTCACAAAGAGTCAGACACAACTAAACAACTAAACAACAACGAGTGGTCTTTGGTTCCAGATTCACAAATCTGTATTTTCATTACAACCCCTCACCACCCTATTAATATAATCCATATATGAAAAGCAGAGATCTAATTCAATGATTGCCCAGCCTAGCTCCTCATATAAGATCTCCATCTTTTTTTTACCTGTCTATGAACTGATCTATTATGACAACATCTCCAGGCTGAATCTCTTCTCTCAAAGAACCACAGGCTGTGGTCACCAGCAGATGAGTGCAGCCCTCTTCCTTCAGAGCCCACAGATTGGCCCGGTAATTGACATGTGACGGAATGATGGTGTGATGCCTTCCATGCCTACGTAGAGAAAGAGGGGAGGGGGAAAACAGCAAAGCTAAAATTCAAGACGGGGTTGGGGAAAGCAAGCAACTCAGGGAAAGATGCGTTTCCTGTTGCGGTTAGGAATGAATTCACCAAACCATGGTTTTATTCTGTTCCACCACCTCTTTAAAAGGAATTTACTTATGTAAGAATGGTGTGAGGAGAGAAGGTGGGGATCAGGACCAATAGATCTGGCCAATCCAGAGGCTTCAATTTGCTTTCCCATCTCAGGGACAAATGTTGTACACCTTGTGTGTCAGAAGCTATGAGGGTTTAGTACATATAGTTTCTAAGGGAGCAGGTGGTGCTGTGGTCTAAACCATGGAGCCTCTTGGGCTTGCCGATCGGAAGGTCGGCGGTTCAAATCCCTGCGATGGGGTGAGCTCCCGTTGCTCTGTCCCTTCTCCTGCCAACCTAGCAGTTTGGAAGCACGTCAAAGTGCAAGTAGATAAATAGGTACTGCTGCGCTGGGAAGGTAAACGGTGTTTCCGTGCACTCTGGTTTCCGTCATGGTGTCCTGTTGCACCAGAAGTGGTTTAGTTCTGCTGGCCACATGAAAGCTGTCTGTGGACAAACGTTGGCTCCCTTGGCCTGAAAGCGAGATGAGCATCGCAACGCCATAGTCGCCTTTGACTGGACTTAACCGTCCAAGGGTCCATTACCTTTTTTACCTATCCTTTAGTCCTTCCATGTAGAATAGTTCTAGATCTCATTCATTTTCTTTTGTTTTAGAAGTGTTTTTTTTTTGTCTGTTTCAGGTGATTTGTTATAAGCTGCTTATATTATACAGGCTGCTTATATTAAATCAAGGGAGCGGGTGGCGCTGTAGTCTAAAGCACTGAGCCGCTTGGGCTTGCCGATCGGAAGGTTGGCGGTTCGAATTCCCATAACAGAATGAGCTCCCATTGCTCTGTCTCAGCTTCTGCCAACCTAGTAGGTCAAAAGCACACCAGTGCAAGTAGATAAATAGGTACCGCTGTGGTGGGAAGGTAAACGGAGTTTCCGTACGCTCTGGTTTCTGTCATGGTCCTCCATGTGCCAGAAGCAGTTTAGTCATGCTGGCTACATGACCCGGAAAGCTGTCTGTGGACAAACGTCAGCTACCTCGGCCTGAAAGCGAGATGAGCGCCACAACCCCATAGTCGCCTTTGACTGGACTTGACCATCCAGGGGCCCTTTCCCTTTCCCTTTCTACATATAGTTTCTGGTTTAAATCAGCAGCCCTGGGATTCAAGGCCAGGGATTTTAAGGTTTTTAGGACTGGAAGATTTTATCATTTTTTATGTCTTTGTATTCCTCTGTCCCAAACTCTCAAGAAAGTTTACAATTCATTTGCACCTATCTGTTAAATTTATATCCCAACCTTCCTTGCAGGGCAGCAAAAACTTCTCTGATTAAAAACAAAACTCCACAATTTAAAAAAGAATAAAAACATATTCAAAACATTTAAAAATCCGTTAAAAACAATAAAAGAAACTGAAGTACAGATGAAACAAAATAACGTGTCTGCACAGGCCAGCTGAAACAGGTAAGTTTTCAGCAAGCATATGTCTTGTCCAACACAATTAACTGAACTTGGAAGTTCTAAAGAAAGAGGAACAATTTTTAAGGTAGAGAACTCAATCACGCCAATCAAGAACTATAAACCAATTAAAATTTACTGAAATGCTGGCGATAATTCTCAGCATTTAGCGTGCATCTTTAGCAGGTTAGATGCCTTGATTTAATACATTTACGGCAAACCTTAATTTTTCAGTAGAAGAGAAATACAAGTGATGCTTAAGGAATTCTTACCTGGCTAGAAGCACACAGTCAACGTTTTTTATCTTCCCCAAAATCAGAGCATCTGATGGCTAGAGTTAAAAACAGAAATAACGCAAGACAGGGGTGGAAGACAACACATTACAGAATGCCAACTGTGAATTTTAAACAATCTTAACTGCTGTTTAGGCATGATTAAGGGGGGGGGGAGATTCTTATTTATTTCTTTTTTTTCCATTTATAACAATCCAATAAAAGCCACATTAATACAACACCAAATTAAAATTCAATTAAAAAAGCCAGTTATCCCAAAAGTTATTGGTATCTACCTTTCCATAAGGCGTATCAACGTATTTTTTCCGTTCGTCCTTCTAATATGTCTGGGTCGTCCAGACCGGTCCCTCCGATAATTCCAATCTTGAGCACAAGAAACACGCATTAGTTTGGAAGACAATTGAAACTATTACTAAATCCTAAACCACAATAGTGTTTGGTTGTCACCTGCCCCCACCCCACTCGCCATTCCCCCCCTCTCCCCTTTCTTCTTCTTCTTCTTCTTCTTCTTCTTCTTCTTCTTCTTCTTCTTCCTCCTCCTCCTCCTCCTAATTGTTTAAACCAATTCATGAACCAAGAACTAATACACTGACCACTAATAATGAAACATATGTTGTAGATATTTTTCCACATTTATTATGCTATTTTTGTGATACACAAATGACATGAGAAAACTTTCTGCTGTACTTTATTGGAAGGAGGAAAAACAACCATTTCCTTAATAACAATTTAAACAATTTATTTAACTGAAACAATAACACTATAGCATATGTATCCATGTTTGTTAACTGATGTGGTTAAACAATTTTTTTTTTAAAAAAAAAACAACTTAGACTGAGTTTTAGCACACATGAAAAACGTAAAACAAATCCTTATTCCTGATGAATAAGTCATTGGATTATAATTTAACTTAAATAGGAAACTATCGTTAGAAAGATTTCCCTCCAAAAGCATTTTATTTTAAAAATCCAATGTGTGTATATATATATATATATATATATATGCTTTCGTAGATTTTCACGGGTACAGGAATGCAGGTTTTGGTGTCCTCGGGTTTTACACGGGAAGACACCCGAGGACACCAAAACCTGCATATATATATATATATATATATATATATATATATATAAAGTGATTTTTTCAAATTATTTTTTTTTGCAGAAATCCCTGTACCAGCGATGGGAAACCGGTGGGAGTTCCACCATCCTTGACCACTGGGCATTCTGCCTGGGAGAGAGGTGAGCGAAGGCTGCAAAACCATCTGGAGGGGCTTTGTGCAGAGATGACCTTGGAGAAATCCAACGTGGTTCAAAGTTTAGTAGGATGCTGGTGGCCAAGTGAAGATGTTTGCTGGGGTGCAGCAAGAGCGGGTGATGATTTTATTTTATTTTATCCCAAAATTTTTATTGGTTTTCACAGTATTATAAACAGACAAACAAACACACACACACAAGACAAAGAAACATAAATCATAGCCTTATTGAAAATTACACTTATTAACTTTGTTAAGTGACTTCCTCGCTTCCCCTTGGTTGAATTTCACTTTTATTTTAACGGTTTTCCAAATCCCAATTCTTATGAAATTTAACTTAAACATTAACACCCTTAAATCTTCACCTTATGGAATCAAACATATTAATTCATCACTTAACATAAATAAAATCCTAAGCCAATTAAGTATCTGCAAGCTATTTTCAATTAATTTAACTTAACAAATTTAACTAGATAATCATTAAATTTATTCCACTCTTCCTGATACTCCTCCTCCTTCTGGTCGCGGACTCTTCCGGTTAGTCGGCTAGCTGTGAAAAATCGATCATCTTCATCTGCCATTCTTCTATTGTTGGTAATTCTTGGGTTTTCCACTTTTTAGCTAACAAAATACGAGCAGCAGTTGTGGCATACAAAAATAATTTTGTGGCATACAAAAATAATCTTTCTTGGGCAATTCCAAACCTGTTATTCCAAGAGCGGGTGATGATTTTAAGGTGTCCAGCGAGCGCATGGTTAGGACTCGGCTTGCGGGCAGATAGCGTCCCTTTAGGATGGAGCCTGACAACTTGTGACTGAGCCAGTTTACGTCATTCAAATGAACTGCCAGACCCAGGGAGGATGATTCCTCAAGAAGGCAGAGTTTGGGCACCCCTGCTACAACAACGAAACCATTCTTCTGCTGGGTTGTTTTCTTTTTAAGGTCAGGAATGGAAAAAACCAACCACCCTATTTTTAGTCCTAGGCAGCTTCCTTACAGCTGGCTGGGATAGGGAAGGGAAAACTCTGCCACCCACCCACATTTCCTCCTTCCGCAGAGGGCAGCCAGCGTGCCAGTCCGGGGCTTTCCGCCTCAACCAGATGAGAACAGCAAATAGGTATGAATGGGACAACCAACCCCCCCATTCCCTGCCCCCAGCCTCAGTAATTGGCTCTAAGTCAGTAGTCAGCAAACTTTTTCAGCAGGGGGCCGGTCCACTGCCCCTCAGACCTTGTGGGGGGCCAGATTATTATTATTTTTTTGGGGGGGGGGAGAACGAATTCCTATGCCCCACAAATAACCCAGAGGTGCATTTTAAATAAAAGGAAACATTCTACTCATGTCAAAACATGCTGATTCCTGGACCGACTGCGGGACGGATTTATAAGGCGATTGGGCCAGATCCAGCCCTCGGGCCTTAGTTTGCCCAGCCATGTCCTAGAACTCTTGCCACTGTAGAGGATTCTTTAAATTTTTTTTTTTTAAATCATTTTTCATTTTCGTTCATTACATACCGTATTTTTCGCCCTATAGGATGCACCCGCCCATAGGACGCACCTAGTTTTTTTTGGGGGGGGGGAATAAAGAAAAAAAATTATTCCCCCCCCCCAGCCGCGGTTTTACCTTGTGGGCTTATAGCCGAATAAAGTATTATCTATCAGGCTGCGGATATCAGCCCAAAGCGCGGGGCGCTCTGCTTCAGTGCGCCCCGTGCTCTGGGCAGCAGGCTGATATCCGCAGCCTAGGGAGCCCTGCGGGAACTCCCGTGGGCTCCCCAGGCTTGCGGATAGCTTCCTGAAGCCTGGAGAGCGAGAGGGGTCAGTGCGCACCAACCCCTCTCGCTCTCCAAGCTTCAGCGAAAGCCTGCATTCGCCCCATAGGACGCACACAGATTTCCCCTTCATTTTTGGAGGGGGAAAAGTGCGTCCTATGAGGCGAAAAATACGGTATATATTCCTCCCTCCCTCCCTCCCCTCCAAGACTTCTCCCAACTTGCGTTTCTGGTTTGTTTCTATTTTCACCCGCTTTGCTATCTCTCAACAGAAAAAGTTATTAATAACATAGCATCAAACCTTAAAAACATAAAAATAAAATTAAATACATCATCTTATTTCACTATCTTCCAAACATTTTCTGATGCTAATAATGTGGATGTTTATTTAAATCCTGTCATCAAGTCTACTGCCTTTCTTTGTTTCTGCAAATATAATATGAATGGTTCCCAATCTTTTTCAAAGTCTCTGTTGTCTTTTTCTCTTAGACTTTCTGTCATTTTTGCCACTGTAGAGGAGTCTGAGGAATGAAATAGGCACTCAGTTTGTGCTAGGCATTGGTGAAGCCAGACAGGTCTCACTTTTGCCTTAGCTGAGCAGATCTGTTCCCAGAGCACAGCTGATGTTTGTTCCGCAGCTGCTGCTGTTGCTTCTTTGGCGATCCTTCGCAGCCGAGTAAGATTGTCTTCCATGAATGTGATCTTTACAATGTGTCCGTAAGTGACTGTGGAGGCCAATTCTGGATCCACACGTCCTTCCACAGTGGGGATATTGGTTTCCGGGCGGGAGTTGATCCCGATGAGGGTTTGCCAAACGTGCCTTCCTCTTGGCACGTTTCTCCCTTGCGTCCCGAGTTCGAGTGTCTTCAAAGTCCATGACACCTTTGGTGAAGGCGGTTCTCCAACTGGAGCGCTTGCAGGCCAGTGATTCTCAGGTGTTGACGGGCTGGATTTAGAAGGTGATTGGGGCGGATCCGACCCTCGGCGCTTAGGTTGCCTACCCATGCTCTAGGTAATAAGGCTTAAGTCTTCCGTTAGCGAGTGGAACAACTCCAGTACAGTGGTACCTTGGTTCTCAAACTTAATCCATTCCGGAAGTCCGTTCCAAAACCAAGATGCGCTTTCCCATAGAAAGTCATGCAAAATGGATTAACCCATTCCAGACTTTTAAAAACAACACCTAAAACAGCAGTGTAACATGAAATTTACTATCTAACAAAATGAAAGCAACAAACAATGTACTGCAGTCACACAATCAATCAATCAGTAGCTGAACTGAAAGAAATTCATGATATATCTGAAAGACAATTGTAATCAATTGACATCGCTTGTAGGGTTACAAAACGTTTTGTAAGGAGAACTATATGAATTATTGCGAAAGAGGACTAAGAAGGAGTTTGTTTAGGATTTGGATTTCATAGCAATAACTATTAAAATAAAATGCAAAATTAGAAAGGAAGTTAGAAAACCACCAGTCGAGGTTGATGGAAGTCCTAGGCAGTGATAGCCAAAGGTCTGTTATGTTTTCTAAGATGGGATGTAATGTTTGGAAGACATGTATAAAAACTAATAAAAAATATATTTTTTTAAAAAAAACAGTAGCTGAACTGGGTTCCACCCAGTCACAAAAACAAAAAAAGCCACAAAAACGCAAAATAAATAGCAAAAACAGACAGACCTCAGCATAACACTCAAAATGGAAGTGTGTCACTCAAAATGGAAGTGTGTCACTCAAAACGGAGCACGTTTGACTTCCGAAAAAAGTTTGCAAACTGGAAGTTACTTCTGGGTTTGCAGTGTTTGGGTTCCAGGTTGTTTGAGTACCAAGGTGTTTGAGAACCAAGGTACCACTGTAAAGTCAAAAAATGAAGTTCCCCTGTAACTATCAAAAATTAAAGCACCATAGGGGGTGGCTTTAAACATCTAATAGCTTTCTACTTGCAGAGAACTCTTTCCACATCAATTTGTCTACCGTGGAATCCCCACGTTGCAGGAATTTCTGGGAGGAAATCCCCAGAATTTGCAAAAGGTACATGTCAGGCCTGTTGGACCTGCCTTAAAATAACCACCTCAGGTAAAGTTTAAGAGCATCGAATGAGTTGTCTCTTAAGCAAGCTTGGCTGTTGATGCTGGTTTCACTTAGGAACTTAAATAGAAAACTCTCTTAAAAAGCAGAGACATCACATTGCCGACAAAGGTCCTTATTGTTAAAGCTATGGTTTTCCCAGTAGTGATGTATGGATTTGAGAGCCGGACCATAAAGAAGGCTGATCACCAAAGAATGGATCCATTTGAATTGTGGTGCTGGAGGAGACTCCCATGGACTGCAAGAAGATCAAA